TTGTGTTGACGGAAAACAAGTGAGGGAGTGGCAGAAAATGAAAGCTGACTTTGAAAATATTCCAAAGGCAATAAAAGCCCAACATGGTTTAACGACTTCATACAGGGCTCTAGAGACTGAATTGCATAAATGGGTTATGGAGTGTCATCAAAATGGTTACTGGGTAACACCCATGGGAATTCACTTAAGTGCCCTTCAAATGGCTAAAGACGACAAATTAAAAGCAGCAGGCATTGAAAATTTTGTTGCATCAGCAGGATGGTGTACCCGCATCATGAGTAGGTTTGCCCTATGTTTGCGGCAAAAAACAAAGATTTCACAAAAGTTGCCAAAAGGCCTTGATGAAAAAGTGATGTCATTCCATTCATTCATCATAAAACAAGAAGTATTCATAACTATGACCTGGGAGATATTGGGAATATGGATGAAACATCTGTGGCCTTTGATCTTCCAAGCAACAGAACTGTGGCAAGTTTGGGAGACAAAACTATTTTACTCAGAACCACAAGAAATGGGAAAAAAACACATTTCATAGTTGTTTTGTTATGTATGTTTGGCTAATGGAACTAAGCTGTGGCCTGTCATTATCTTTACCTTACCTAAAAAGGTCAACCTCCCACCACGAATTACAGTGCAAGCACATATTAAATGACGGATGAAGACGGAACAGAAAAAATGACTGGAAGAAATTTGGAACAGATGACCAGAAGCAGCCTTTAAGTAAAAACCCACCGTTGCTAGTTTGGGATATGTTTAGAGCCCACACATCTGATGACATAAAAAAAAATTTGGCAAAGTCTCAAGTTACTTTGGCCGTTATTCCAGGTGGGCTTACATCTGTCTTGCAGCCCCTAGATGTGTGTGTAAATAAACCTTTCAAAGACCGTGTGCGAAAGATGTGGCAAGCATGGATGTCATCTGGTCAAGCCTGACTGACAAAAGTGGGGAATCTGAAGAAGCCCGGCATAGAATCAATAGCAGTGGGTTTGTGGTACATGGGAAGAGAGTCCAGAGGACATGGTGCAACACGCCTTCAGGACATGTGGCATCAGTAATGCTGGGGATGGCAGTGGAGACAGCGCTTTGTACGAGAACGACAGCAGTGATGGGGATGACTGTGAACTCGGTGATGATGATAGTGTCTATGCGGATGACCGCACACCAGCTAACACTGCAGCTCTGTTTGGACAGACAGATGAGGAGGAGGAATCCAGTTTTGAAGGATTTTAACTCGTGATTTAGCTTGGTTGCAGATTCAGCTAAGGTTTTTGTACTTTAAAGTTATTGTTGATACCATATTGTTTTTGTTGACCCTCTTTTCTCTTTACAGAGCTAGTTTACTGTTTTTCTTTGAAATAAATATTCAAAAACATTTAACTTACTGATGCCTCAGTTAATGTTACTTTATTGATATCTTTTTATTTTGAAATTTATCCCACCCTAGGCTTATACTTACGTCAATAAGCTTTCCCAATTTTTGTGGTAAAATTAGGTACCTCGGCTTATATTTGGGTTGGCTTATACTTGAATATATATGGTTTCCAAAGCTGTCTTCCAGTCCTTCGGTTGGTTGTTCATCTTATTAATAAAGTCCTTGATGTACATGCATACTTACTTTTTATAATATCACTGATCTATTTCATCGTTTGCTGGTCAGGGTTCTTGTTGTCACATCTGATAATTTGTCACCGAACATTGAATCCTACAGCCTTGTTCTCCTTTCATTTTCTTCTAAGAATTTTATGGCTTCCATTTTGTATTTAGGGCCCTAATTGATTTTGAATAGGTTTCTGTGTATGGTATGTGACATTGTGTGGAAATTCAATTTTCTCAGCATTATTTGTTGAAAAGACTTCTTTTCTCAAAATTTAGTGGACCACGAATGTATGTTGAACTTCTCTAGAAAAGAGTCATTGTCTCATGCTATAGACTTCATTCCACGAGGGTCCCTGCTGGCACCAGGGTGCTAACTAAAAGGTAAGTTTGAACTGGCAGTTCAAACCTACCAGTTTGCTTTTGTGAAGATTACAGCTTTGGAAACCCTATGAGGCTTTCTACTCAGTTACAGGGCCACTGTGAGTTGTTTTGATGGTATGGTTTAGTTTCTCTGTTCCATGCCTGGCAACAGTAGCCACTCAGTTGTCTGATCTGTGGCTCTGGTTTTATTTTTGCTACTTATATTTAGCTTCCATATATTATTTCAGAGTTTACTTGTCCTGGTAGATGTTTGAACACTAGCAGATTAATGCACAGATGGCCTTTCTTACATCAATGTGAGTTCAAGTAGCGCTGAATCAAGCCAATTTCAAAGATTATGTATTAGTTTCTTATTGTTGCTATAACAAATTCCCATAAATCAAAGCCATCTAGTTGTTTTTACAGATCCAGAGGCTAGAAATCCAAAATCTTTTCATTTTGCTTGTTAAAGTCAGTGTGTCAACATGGCAACTTCCTTCTGGAGATTTTGAGGGGAAATTATTTCCTTACCTTTTAAAGGTTTAGGTGACCACCTATATATTTCTTAGCTTGTGTCTCCTTCCTTCCTCTTCAAAGTGCATCACTCCACTCTATGCTTCACTATGTCTCATGGCTTTCTTTTCTTTCATAAGCTCATATATCTCTGCCTCTCTGCTTTCAGGTCAATACATTTAGGGCCCTACCAGATAATAAAGGATAATCTCCCCATTTCAAGAACATGAATTTAATCACACATACAACTCCTGCTATCATGTCAGATAGCATTCACAAGAACAAGGACTTAGGATCTGGATATCTTTGGAGGGCAGTTATTCAGCCAACCCCAGAGTATAATGACTCCTTCCCTAATTAAAGTGGTTTCTCTTCTTAAATAATTCATAGTTCAGCAAGCTACTTTATTCAGATCTTTGTCTGATTTACTTTGCTCTTATCTTTGATATATGAATGTGTCATTTCCATGGGGATATCATGTATACTTACCTCACTTTCCTCAGAGGAAATTCTTCCCCCCCCCGCCTCCTTCCCCCATGAACCCTTGATAATTTATAAATAACTATTATTTTTTCATGTTTTACACTGATAGATGTCTCCCTTCACCCACTTATCTGTTGTCCATCCCCCCGGGAGGGGGTTCTATGTAGAGCATTGTGATAAGTCCCAGCTTTCCCTCCACACCTTCCTCTGCCCCTCCTGGTATCACTACTTTCAATATCGCTCCTGAGGGGTTTATCTGTCCTGGATTCCCTGTGTTGCTAGCTCTTATCTGTACCAGTGTACATGTTCTGGTCAAGGCAGATGTATAAGGTAGAATTGGGGTCATGATAGTGGGTGGGGGGAGGAACCATTAAACAGTTTAAAGGAAAGTTGTATGTTTCATCAGTGCTATACTGCACCCTGACTGGCTCGTTTGTTCTTTGTGGCTCTTCTGTAAGGGGATGTCCAGTTGCCTACAGATGGGCTTTGGGTCTTCACTCCGCACCCCACCCCCACCCCACCCCCGTCATTCACTATGGTAAGATTTTTTGTTCTGATGATGCCTTATACCTGATTCCTTCGGCACTCGTGATACAAAAGGCTGGTATGCTTCTTCCATGTGGGCTTTGTTGCTTCTCAGCTAGATGGCTGCTTGTTTATCTTCAAACCTTTAAGATCCCAGCCGCTATGTCTTTTCATAGCCAGGCACCATCAGCTTTCTTCACCACATTTGCTTATACACCCATTTTGTTTTCAGCGATTGTGTTGGGAAGAACATCACGGAATGCCAGGTTATTCGAACAAAGTGTTCTTGCGTTGAGGTAGTACTTAAGTAGAGACCCAATGTCCATCTGCTACCTTAATACTAAACCTATAAATATATGTACATAGATCTATTTCCCTGTTGTTATATATAAATATATTTACATATGTACATTTCTGTATTTAGACCTCTGTAAATGCCCTTTGCCTCCTAGTTCTTTCCTCTATTTCCTTTTACTTTTCTCTTGGCCCTTCATTCAGGTTTTGGTAATTCCTCTTGGTTACATTGCCCTTGATCAAGCCCTACCAGGCATCCTACACCCTCCTAGACATTGATTTTAGAACACTTGTTCCCTTGTCCCTGGGTTTAACACCCACTTCCTTTCTCCTACCTCTGCCCCTCCCTCTCCCGTTGCCCTAGCCTCCCCTCCCTGCCCCCACCCCCCCACCCCAACCATTGGTCCTGATGATTTCTCCTCTGGATTGTTTATCCTGCCTATCTTATCTAGATAGATATGCAGAGACAATAATAAGTACAAAAACAAGACAAAGCAACACAACAAAACAACAACAACAACAACCACAAAAGACAGGCCTATAGATAGTTCAAGGTCTGTTTTTTTACCTTTAGCAGTGTTTTCTGGTCATGTCTGATGGAGTGCCATGCCCTGGCCCCATAGTCTAGTTTTGATATTCCCAGGGATTTCATTGCTTTGCTCCCCTTGCTGTTCTGTTGCTTGCCCTTAGTGTTTCACCCTGCTGTGGTAGTGTCAGATTGGGCACAATTCCCACACTGTGTCTCCAGTGTTGATCCCCGGAGCACTATGGGTCAGTGAGGGACATCTTGTCTTGTGGTGGGGCCAGCCCTATGGTCCTCTCTGTGCATGGGGTGCTCTAGGCAGAATACCAACCTTGGGGCTTGGTGGGCCAGGATGTGCTCCACTCTCTCTTCCTCCCCCTTCATTTGCTCCTGTGTGCTCTCATCAGACATGTCCCTCTCCCTGAGCTGTAGCTTCAGTGCTGTCCTCTGAAGTGAATTCTTTGGGGTGAGGCTGGGGGTTGGGGGTGGCTTTCCACATATTTGGGATTGGGGTCGGCCTCTTAAACGTCTTGGTTTCCTGCTTCATGCCGGTATGTTGCATTCATGTCTTGGCACATGGGGTTGAAATCTGGTTCTTTTCTCCTCCCCTTGAGTTGGGTTAGTAACCCTGTTCCCCCATTACCCATGTCTGTGTTCCCCTCCCCACCCCCCGGAATATACTTAATGCTGTCATTTTGTGTTGTAGTTGGTGTAATACGGTGCCCAGTATGCCGCCAGGAATGCAGACAGATAGACCTTGTGGATAATTATTTTGTGAAAGATACATCTGAAGCTCCTAGCAGTTCTGATGAGAAATCAGAACAGGTATGCTTCTCAATTTTTCTTTCTATTCCCAACTTTATATAAAAATGTTAAATGTTAGAAAAACAGGCTTGGGCATTTATATAACAGTAATTCTACAGTAGCTTCATATTTGAAATAGAAAATAATCTCTTATAAATGCACAGCTTTATTCTGTACCATTGAGTTGAGTAAAGTGGGGCTGTCTTAACTGTTTCTTTTTGTGGAATTTTATTGTATAAATTTAATATGGATTGGCATATACTCTTTCATTTTAGGTATGTACTAGTTGTGAAGATAATGCTAGTGCAGTTGGCTTTTGTGTAGAATGTGGAGAATGGCTATGTAAGACATGTATAGAAGCACATCAACGAGTAAAATTCACTAAAGATCACCTCATCAGGAAAAAAGAAGATGTCTCAGGTAAGATAAGAAATGGTCTTGGCTATTACTGTTAACCTTCCTCTTTTGCCCCACTACCATTTCCTGTTTACTTTTTATAATCTCTGCATAGTAACATCAATAAGAATTTGCAAAATTAGACAAAAAATTTGTATTTAGTTTAAAAAATACTTGGTTTATTTTACTACAGAGTCTGTTGGAGCATCTGGTCAGCGCCCTGTTTTCTGTCCTGTACATAAACAAGAGCAATTGAAACTTTTCTGTGAGACATGTGATAGACTGACTTGTAGAGACTGCCAACTTTTGGAACACAAAGAACATAGGTACAGAAATCCTAATTGCTTACTGAGAAATATAATAAAAGTCTCATAAATTTAATTTATTTTCTTTAAAGTAAATAGCTCATACTTTATTTGTTAAGGCTATAAATCTAACTACTATATATTTTATTTCTTAAGATACATTTATATAAATTAATAATATCCATATTTATATTTACCTGCCTTATGGATATATTTATTAAAATGTACTATTATGTGGGTTTGGGCTTACAAGAATAGCATGGTATTATTTCTTTGCTTGCCATATGTCTGATTCAAGTAAGCATTTTAAAATAGTGTATTGTGGTTTTTAAGCTTACAGTCTTATAACTTGTAGTTTTATAATCTCAATAGAGATTTTTAGGCTGTAACTTAAGAAAATAAATTATTTTATTGAGGGCTCTTATAACAATCCATACATTAATTTTTATCAAGCACATTTGTACATATACTATCTTCATCATATCAAAACATTTTCTTTCTGCTTGAGCCCTTGGTATCAGCTCCTCTTTTTTCCTGCCCCCCCCCACCCTCAGGCTGTGACTTTTATGGGAGCAAAGCACCGTGTCTTTCTCTTATGGAACCATTGAGTGGATTTGAAATGACAATCTTTCAGCTTGACCTTGTGCTACCAGGTGTCTTAATAATCTTAATCCCAAATCCAAACTCATGGTCATGGAGTTAATTCTCATAGTCACCCTGTATAGGATTTCTGAAATTGTAAATTTGTATGAGAACAGATACTTAATTTTGTTTTCCCTCAGAGCAGCTGGTAGATTTGAACCTGATTTTTCAGTTAGCATTCTAGCACCTAACCAACCCACAGTGCTCCCAGGGCTCCTTAATTATCTTAATAGCATGCATTCGTAGCATCTTTACTTAGAGGAGCTTTTCTGTGTGCCTTATGCTCATTTATTTCATAGACATCCTACCAATAAGGTGTGGATACTGTTAGCACTATTTTAAAGTGAGAGCCCCCACCCACAGAAATCCTTCTCACACTAGAGCTAGTATCTGAACACTGCTAGTGGACTCCAAATCTCTGCTTAATGCATGTTTCTTGTCCCCTGTATTGGGTAGAGAATGTAGGATATACAGGATACTGTATATAGAATATCTCAAATTTACTTAACCACTTAACAGTAATGGTTTTTTCTTTTTTTGAGGCGCCACTTAGTGTCTTAACTTGTGTATGCCTTCACCACAGGGCTATCTCTTACCTTTGATTGTCTTATGATTCTCTTATTTAAGACATGCAACTCCCTTTCTCAGAGTTCCAGTGAGATCTTTGAATATTCTGGTTTTGAAGATGACATGTTTTTTTCTTTTTTTTTGACATGTTTCTTTTTCATGAAAGAATAACTTCAATCTCCATCCCCCAGAAATTGAACCATGATACTTTCCATTCTTTCACCACTTTTTAAAAACACTTGTATTAGCACTTCATCCACATCATACAATTCAGTAATTATTCATATCAAAAAGTTGTATAATTGTTATCACATTCAATTCTAGAACATTCTTCCTTGTACTCTTTGTTACTCATGTAATTATTATTTTTTCTAATTGTGGCAAAAATATTGACAACAAAACATTCTCCAGTTCCACAACTTCTACTTGTATAATTCAGTGTCATTGATCATACTCTTCGTGTTGTACAACCATTATTGATAGCCTTTTCCAAATTATTCCACCACCATTAGCATAAACTCAATGGCCCTAAGCAACTCTTTCTCTTTTACTTATGGTAACCATTGATCATGTTTGGTTTCTTATTACTTTTTAAAGTAGGTTTTTAAAAAAATTCACATATCATACACTCCCATGGTTAAATTGCTTTTAAAAACAGTTGTATATATAGCATCACAATCAGTTCTAGTGCTCCTTCCCCCCTCCTGCATTCATTGTTTGCTCTCCAAATTCCCCTTACCCTTTGCACCCTCCATTCCCTTCTCCACATCCCTGATAAACCATTGCATGCGTTATTGTCTTTATGCATCCATTGTTTCTGTGCTTCACAGACTGGGAAGCCCAACAGAAACAATAAGCAACAAAAACAAAGCAAAAAGACAGCAGAATAATAGTATTAATGCAAAGATAAAGTACAAATTAAAAAGTAAGAAAGAAAAGATCACCATCAGTGTTTAAAAGGCCAAAGAAGAAATTTCTGTCCTGGAACAGGTGAGAAATACTTGAGTGTAGATCAAATACAGGTTGGGTAAAGAGGGAGATCACCTGACCCAAGTATATTATACTATGGTTTGATGCTTATGTTAGTCTGGGTAGACTAGAGAAACAAATTCATGGAGACACTCATATGTATATAAGGGAGAGGTTTATGTATCAGAGCAGTTGAACATTGAGAAAACATCCCAGCCCAGTCCAGATCAAGTCCTTAAGTCCGATATTAGCCCATATGTCTGATACCAATCTATAAAGCCCTCTTCAGACTCAGGAAACACATGCAGTGATACCGAATGTAGAAGCTCACAGGCCAGTGGGTAGAAAGTGTTTGTATCCAGTAGCATTGAAAACATCTCAGCGCTGGCAGGGGTCTCTGTATGGCTTCTTCAGCACCCAGGGCTGTATCAAGGTGCGTCCATGTGTCTTGTCAGCTGCTATGTATCCCAGGGTGTGAGCAGAGAGTCTCCCACCTCTAAGGAGGAAACACTGGAATTCCCAGAATCCGTAGGGGAAAGCTATGCCCACACATTGGCTATGACCTGATTGACATGCTCTAGACTCTACCACTACATGCTTAATCCTTAAATTGACAATTATAAAACTACCACAGTCCTCCCACCATCAAGTTTTCAATAATCTCTGTTAGTAGCTGTTCAAGTCCTTTGTCGTCTGAGGGAATCTGACAGAGGTTTAATCTGACTAGATGTTCTGCAGATGGATTTTGGCCTCCCACTGTCATCCACAGCCTTCTACAAATTGGGTGTTTACAATTTAAGCTATGATAATTTCCCCCTTATTTGGGTTTTATTATCAACATGTTTGAATCACATAGGCTGGTGTGCTTCTTTAATGTGGACTTAGTTGACAACTCAGTTAAATGGCTGCTTGTTTGAATACAAGCCTTTAAGACCCTAGACACTATTTCTTTTGATAGCTGGGCACCATCTCTTTTATTCATCACACTTTGATAATAGCACCCTTATCTTCAGTGATCATGGCAGGACCATGTTATAAGAACTAACGGTTTTTGGATTGGGGCTAGAGTTAAAAGTGGAAGCCCAGAATCCATCATCTTGTCCATGGGTTATGAATGACTGTGGTTTACTTGGCAGTCATATTATGACAAAAACAAAGCACAAGAACAACAACAACAAAATAAACAAGAAAAGAAAAACCTTGTCAATCCTCCCCCGGGGTATAAGGTATTTGTATTGATAACACCAATACTTTTTCCAATTACACAGGATTTAAGATACTGTTTATATTAGGAGTTTATGGGCATACAGTCCAACTTTGAGCTGCAATTGTTATTTTGTACAGATTGGATTCTTAATTGATTGAGCTCTGTATACATTGAGCATGGGGATTGATTCTAGGGGAAATTTTTTGTATCAGTTCTTACAGAGGCAGATCCTTGCCTAACAGATTAAAACCTGTCATATTAATGCAAGGGGAGCATTGAGGTATTAAATATATGGTGGTTCTGGGTCCCCTTTCATTGGACACCCATTAAGCCAGGGGTCCCACCTCAGTTCCAATGACCACCATTTCCACAGTCTTGGGGTGGCCCTCCTTTGCTTTATGTCCCATCAGAGTATTTCAGTCCTAAAACCAAGGGTGCAGGTAGTTTTGAGGGAGGGCCCATTTCATTCAGACTGGCTTCTACATTGAGTCCTTCTGGTGTAGCCCTTGGGGGTTGCTCTTTTGCCTGAAAGATCAGTGGCTAAGGTCATCATGGTGCTTAGTTCGTGGTGTGGTTCACCGAGGCTTGGGTAGAAACTTACTTAGAGTGTCTACCAGGGAACATAAAATTGGGTTTACTGTCTCCTTAGGTTCCCTACAATTATTGTTTAGCATCCCTTCCCCATGTGAGGTTGCTTCTCCCATTTACCCACCACACTCACCAACATAAATATCAGTGTTTCCTCTAAAATGTAGGTTCTTCCTTCCCCTGGTCTTAACTTGATTTTCCAGTAAAGTTTTCTCATTCCTGTGGAGGCCCTGTTGATTTACTATAGCTCTTCGGTTGCATAGCCTCATAGTGGATAGTCTCCTAGCCTCCTCATTCCTGGAGTGATCCCAACCAAAGGGGTCTCCTCTTTCAAGGTGATTCTTAAGAAGTACATACGAGGGGGGTGATGAATGGTTAATGGCTGGCAGGTAGCCTTTCTACCTTTAGCTGCTTATTAATCCAAGTAATAATCATCACTTATATTCAAGTCATAATTATCTGTTGAATGTTTTCTCTTTACTTCACAATTTTCATTTTTTTTAGGTTGGATTGTTGCAGAGCCTAAGCAGGTGGATTTGAAAGCCCAAGTTCTTGTTATTACTGTTACCACTTCAAATGTATTCTGTCCATGTTGTTGCTAGGATGATATTGTTAAAGAATAATAGCCTTTCCTAACATCCTCGGTGGTCTCCTATAGTCAAAGTTCAAGTGTTTAGTAAGGAACCCTAGTGGTTCAGTAGTTAAGTGCTTGGCAGCTAATAAGTCAGTGATTAGAACCTACCAGTGGCTCAGCAGGAGAACGATGCATCTTTCTATTCCCATAAAGATCCAAAGTCGTGGAAACGCACGGGGGCAGTTGCTGTGTTGTGTATGGTTGCTAGCAGTCAGAATGGACTCAATGACAGTGAATTTGGCTTGGTTTGGGTGAAGGCTGTGATGTTTCAACGTCTTTATTCTGGGTGGGTTTGAACCCCACTAGTCATTTAACTCAGTACTTAAACAATTTTGTACCAGCTATTTGCTAGAGAGACGATCTGTACCAGTGGAATTTTGAAATGGTAGCCCCAACTCTAAGGAGTTGGTTCAT